GCAACAGAACGGAAGGTTTTTTCTACTGCAGTGGGGACGAACATTTCCGGTTCTCAAAGGGTTTGCCGAACGATCCGAGCAGTCAGCCTCTAAACTTTTTGACATTTTCAGAACGCTGCCATCCCGCGCGAATTGTTTTCCAACAGCACGCATGAAGCTTTGAAAAAAAAGAAAAACGAACCTGCGCAGCAAGTGGCATATTTGGAGAGCTGTGAGGAGGCCGCAGATTGTCTTCCAGGAATGCTCCTTCTGAAAAGTAACAATTCGTTTCGGAGTATAATGAAAAACCTTTAATACTTATTTGCTTTTTGATACAAAAACGGTTCAGAAAGTGTTTGAATGCAACCAAATTAGAGTGAATCAACAAATATTTGCAGAATTTCAAGCTTACATCGGTTTCATCCACAAATTCAGTCTCTCATAATTCCTAGAATTTGAATCCTAGATTTTGCAGCCACAAATTTAGTCTCTCATAAGTCCTAGCATCATTTACATTAACATTAAGGCATATTTTCAAGCATACCGGGATTCGTTTGATCAACATGCGCTCGGTGTGAGTCGGATGGAATGATAAATGACGGATGTGGTAACGCTGCTGGCGGTGGTCCATCCGGACCGGGAGGCCCGTAGCCATCACAGAAAAATGACAATGGCGGGTGACCATAGAAGCCATCAGCAGTGCCATCTGCAAGAAACAACAAGACTAGTATTACCGGAGACCACTGAGATATGAAATGCCTTCCTGTAATTCGCTCCTGGAATCTATTGACTCATTTGCGGGCTCTCTCTGTGATAAAAATTGTGTGAGCACTTCCTTGTTCCGCATTCAAGGAGACAGTTCCAAGGCCTTGGTTGTCTTTGAAATATGTCCGGTTATTTCTGTTAGTGGTCACTCAGCAAGCACTTGAGTCTGGCGGTTACTGCGCGGATAATCAACGGAAAACCAGCGCCTGTATGCCTAATCGCTTTGCTGGTTGGGTGCTAATCTCAACTTCACCTGCCTATTTTCCCATTTATGGCGCAATGTGCAATCAGCCCATCATGCACTGGCACTTATTACGCTAATAAAATGCGCACACAACGGCCCGTATTTATGGCAATTGACTTTTATCCAGGAGCTAAGCCTCGCACAATATCCCTTAACACCACTGCTTCCCACTGCTTTTCACCTGCTCCGCTTGCACACACATCTCTCCCACCGTTCGTTCCAA